ACTCATCATAAAAGGGATATATGCTAATTGTACAAACGTTAAGCAATTCAAAAAAGCAAAAAGAAGTAGAACTGAAAGTTTCCCTAAGGGAAAACCATTATTAACATATTGGGAAACACATTTCTGACTGTCTGTTCCTAGATTTATTTTAGATAGAGATATACATGTACATACAAATGTTATTTATAGGATCATAAAATGTATGCTGGCTCGTATCCTGTCTCTCTCTATATGACATATATATATGTTATCTGTGTGTGTGTGTGTGTGTAAATAAATTTGGGGGGCATATTTTTCCATAATAAAAAACAAAGACTTAGAATAAGTTTTTATTTAAATTCCAGTTAACATACAGTGTAATATTAGGGTCAGGTGTACAATACAGTGATCAACACTTCCCTGTACATCACCCCGTGCTCATCAGGACAAGTGCCCTCCTTCATCCCCATCACCTGTTTCTCCCATTCCCCTGACACCTCCCCTCTGGTGACCATCAGTTCTCTATAGTTAAGAGTCTGTCTCTTGCTTTGTCTCCCTCTGTATTCCCCCCCCCCCCCATTTGCTAAGTCATCATTTTAAGTCCTAGTTTTTTACAGCTGCATTGCAGGAATGTACCATAATTTATTTTTCCACGCTTCTCTGCATGGACATTTAGATTATTTCCAAATTTTGCCATTAGACACAATCTAAGAGTCGGACATGTCGGTTAATCGGGAGAAAATTTTTCAGAGCATTCACTCCAGCAGGAGGCGCTATGTCTGCTGAGTTACCTCTGCCAGTAGTCCTCGGGCAGTCTGACTTCTCGGTTACAAGCCGGGATCCTGCGAGTCTTGGTTCCTCCTAGTTTAAAATGAAAGTGGAGATTCTAAGGGCTGTCCTCTAAGGAACTAGACAGGTCTTCACAGAATGCAAAGGATGGTGGTTCCAGACGGTGGGACTGTCTCCACTCAAGCAAAGATAAAACGGAAAGCCTCCATAGATGAGCTGTTTGACTCTGTAAACTTCTTATAATTAATACTTACTAAACTGGCAACTGATGCGGCTGACTCCCAATCATCTCTGCAGCTTTTACATGCATGCCTCTCTTGGGGAGCAACCACCTGCCACCCACCAGCTGTTAGCACCATATCCCTCCCCGCCACTTCCATCCTTTGAATTCCTCAAGGAGAAGCCACCACTCAGGCACCCCAGATCCCCGAGCATCCCCTGAGGTCCCTAGGGAAAGGCCAGTGAGGCTCTGGCATTTCCAGCATGGATGAAGCTTCATGGTATTAACCACACGGTTCAGTTTTTCTCAGGGAGTCTCTCCGAGGGAGCCAGTTCCATTAAACTCTCATTTGTAAAGCATCAATCACTGTGCTGTCAGTTCCTTTTCTCTTCAGCTGAAGGGAAGCAGCATATACGACAAATAGCTTGGGCCAAAAAGACTGGAGCATGAACCCAGTTCTGCTACCTGACAGCTCGGTGGCCTTGGGCAAGATGTGACCCCCTCTGGTAATCCTCGGTTAGCTCCTCTGAAAAACGGGGATGACAAGAGTCCCTCAAAGAGGCGCCTAGAAGATTAAGGGAGAAAACTCACTCACTGTGCTATTCCCGACAATACGAGCTTTAGTAATGTTAGCGATGTTAGCGATTTGTTGTTAGTGATGATGAAGTCTTTGTGAAAACACAACAAAAATCTCTTCCTCCCGCCCATAAGAGTTGATGTCGGGACTAAAAATAACGCATATGGATGTGCCCAGCACGTATGTGTTTCACAAAGGCTAATTCCCGTTTCTTTCTGACATCCCCGAGAGCTTCGTTTATTTCCCTGCACAGACTCTCCCTAATATACAGTACAAAACTACTGAAGAAATAGCAAAGTAGGTACGTGTTTTTACCTCATATCCTGGCTACGGTGAAATAAACATCTGTGTGTGTGGGTGTAACAGTGATGAGCTGGTTAGAACGAAAATGGGCAATATACGGGCAATTGTGGAATGTGTTCGTTGGAGGGGAACTCAGAACTCAGGAGGAGTGCTAGCTAGGAGATGGGTCGCAAACAAATGGCCATGGTCTCAAGAGCTCGTTGGCAGCCAACTGGACTTGGTCCTAGAGATGATTTTATTAGCCTAGTAGTCTCCGTGGTTGGGAATGGCATTCAAGGAAAAGGCTGGGTTAAGAAAGCATCTTGTGAAAATACAAACTGAAAACTGGAAGCTGAATCGCATGGGTATTTGGCCACGTTTATTGCCTATGCATTGTTGACACGTAGAAATCATTTCTTCCCTTCCATGCCTAATTAAGGGCACCTTTGGGACCAAAGAAAAAGACCAAATACCCCATGTCCTTGTAGTTTCCCTTGTTTTTCTCCTGTGAAGCTAAGAGATACACAGTGTGGAGCTGAGACCCCAGCTCTGCTGTGGCTTTGCCCGTGATAAGTCGTCGTGGTTCCTCGCATTCCCTCTTTGATTCGTGCAGTCAACAGATACTTAATAGGCATTTACTCTGTGTCACGGATAGTGAGTAAAGGGATCCCCCATCACAGGCTGCTTACAGACTAGCGAGAGGAGACAGGAGCTGAACGAGTAATGAAAAATAGTCCGCGTATGCGCTTGGGATAGAGCTAGAGAGAACAAGGAAGCAGGGAAAGGGGGGTGGTTTCTCGTTTATGGAGGTTGGTGTGAGGACACGCCGACGAGGAAACATTTGAGCAGAGAACTTCGGGAACTGAGAGGGGGACTCCTGGGGATATCTGTGGGAAAATATTTGGGCAGAAAAGCACAAGCAGATAGACTGAGGCACAGGCTTGCTCGGTGGGCTCCGGGAATAGCAAGGGGGCGGGCGTGACCCAAGCAGAGTGAGTTAGAGGGTAGCTGGGGTCTAGACCTCATAGTCTCTCTGACAGCTTTGTCTTTATAGGAGCGAGATGAGAAGGCACTGGAGTGTTCTGAGTAGAGGAGTGAGGTGATCTGGCTTTGTTTGGCAGACACATGATGTACGCCAGCGAGCAGAGCCTACTGGCTGGGGCAAGGGTCCCGCAGACAGACCACGGGCAGTTTCCCACCCATGGCACTTTCTCACTTAAGGTCACAATAACTCCATACCGTGTTCTCTTCAGCAAGAACTGGGGCCCCGAGAAGCAAAGCAACTAAGCGAAGGCAGGGTTGAGGTCCCAGACCTGTGACCCCAAACCAGAGTTCTTTCCTCCCACCCTGTGTACAAGTAAAAACATACATCACCATCACTGCAAAGAACAATGGACAAGTTTTCCATCAGGTGTGTAAGCCACCCAAGAGACTGAGGTCCTTACACTAAGGGTCCGAAGAGAACATGAGTTCATTTCTTCTCTGGTGTTTAGCACTCTGACACGGCTCATTTTTCATGCTGTCTGTCCAGATTTCTTCTAGAAGTGCGTGTTCACATTTTGTTTTATTATGAACTACAACTGGATTGATTCATTTGAATCACACTCATCTGTCATCTTAAAGAGTTTCAAAGACGCATAGAGGGGCCCTTGGCCACTTAAGGCAAATTCGAATTTCCATTTTTCTCTCTGACCTGTCAGAGAGATTCACAGATGCTGGCCACAGCCTGAGGCCCGTTGATGTGAAGTGCCCCTGTGTTGTCGTCCAAGGCCCCTGCCCTGTGGACGTCCTCTTGGACTGTGTGTTCAGTCTGTACACGTGTGCATGAACAACACCGTGAAGAATCGCACTGTGGGGCAGATGACACAGTAAACAATTCACAACTCCAGGGGGCAGCGATCCTTCAGCTGAAAAGCAGAAACAGCTTGCCATGTCATTTACCCAAGGCCTTCATGACTTCCAAATGATGCAGGCTTGAAGATTCTGTCTGTGGCTCCACAACACTAGAAAACTCTTTGCTGTTGCTATTAAGCAATTAGCTCCATCACCCAGATCTCCTCCTTTCCTTACAAGTCACCTTGTTGAGGGGCACCTGGGGGGGTGCAGTCCGTGAAACCTCCACCTCTGGGTCTCGGCTCAGGTCATGATCTCAGGACCATGAGATCGAGCCCCGTGTCGGGCTCTGTGCTCAGCAGGGAGGCTGCTAGAGATTCTCTCCCTTCCCCCCATCTCTAATAAAAACCTGAAAAAAAAGTCACCCTGTTGACTTTTTTTTTTTTATAAAACAGTGACCCACAGACCCACGGCTTGCCTGAGGACCAGTATTCGGAGAACACAAGCCCCCGGGAGCCATGTGAGGCTGCACCAATGGCGTGGAGGCCATGGACACGGTCCCAGCCCAGCTTAGACGGTCCCAGCCCAGCTTAGACGGTCCCAGCCCAGCTTAGGCGGTCCCAGCCCAGCTTAGACGGTCCCAGCCCAGCTTAGGCGTTCCCAGTTAGTACGACAAAGCGGTCAGCTTTGAGGACAGACAGGATTAAAGCTATCACGCATACTGGCGAAGAAGAAGAAGAAGAAGTTTTCAGAATCTCTTGAAAATTTTGTTTTAATTGGGAGGAAGGGCAAGACTGGGCAGTAGGAAGAGAAGAAGGGACAGTACGTGCTTCTGCAGTCTCAGCAGAGAGAGGGGTTTCCTATGGAAACATATACCAGCCAGGACCGAGGAGGAAGAGTTGTAAAGACCCATACGGCCCTACATTTACCACATCTACTGGAAGAGAAATTGGAGAATTTTGTTTTTATGCTCTTTTGATTGCAGGAGAGAAACTCTAAAGTATGCTCCAACGTATCGTGTGATATGAAATGAAATAACACAGTGAGAGTCCAATTCACTTTCCCTCTTCCAATCCCAGTAGACACAGCACTAAGTGAGCATCTAGGTACCTTCTATCTGGTCCAGTGGAAGGACCGTGGACAAGAGCCGTGGACCTGGATTTCTGCCCAGCTTTGGCAGGCACATACCGTGTGACTCAGGCGGCATCCGGGGGGGTCCCTGCTGCGTTCAGCACACTGGATAATTTGGGGATGAGAAGGCACTCTGTTATATTAATGCTGTGGATTTTTTCTCACTTATTTTCTGTGGTTTTCTTTAAGGTCCAGTTGAAAAGTGAAGAGTCCAAAACCTTTGCCATGAAGATTCTCAAGAAACGCCACATTGTGGATACGAGACAGCAGGAGCATATCCGCTCAGAGAAGCAGATCATGCAGGGGGCGCATTCTGACTTCATAGTGAGGTAAAGACCCCCCCCCCCGGGGCTGATGTGCCCTCTCTCTGTGGAAAGTCAAGCCACCAAACCCGTCGCCACCCCTGCTCACCATCACACACTTCATTTACCCAGGAAACATATTTTTAAATCTGATTTTAAGAAAGTTTTGTTAGGCTTAAAAAAAAAAAAAAAACAGCTTGAGTCTATCCTTTTTGTTTTAAAGAATCCGATACTGTGAAAAGAACGGTTTTCCCAAAGGAGATCTCTCCATTTCTGACATTCCATTTTTATGCTCTCTGTGACTGAAAAACCCTACATAGACTTTGGGAGCTTGAAAGACAAAAATACAAAAATCAAACTGTCCTCCCTTTAATTATTTGAATACTAATATGTAAATTTAATTTTTGGAAGATTAAAAAAATGAAATGACTATTCCATCTCCGTATTTTCAGAGCATTAGTAAGAGGATAACGGGGAGTTCTTATATACAAAAAAAAATAAAACCTGTTCTACTTAATTTGTCAGGGGCACTTAAAAATAGGGCATAAGGTGAACTTAAGGAACAGCATGGGAATTGCATACATGTCTATGTTTGTAAAGTATATCTATTTTATATGCATGTAGATTGCATGTTTATCACCACTCAATGTGGCTCAAGTATCCATGCTTAAAACATCAGCCAAACTGGGACCCCAAGAAGCCACCTTGGTCCATAATCCTTTGGATTCATCCATTCATTGGCCCAGGAAAGACTAGCCCCTACACCATACACATCTTAGTCAGGAGCCTGTTGCCTCCTTTTCCCTATGTGCAAACAGATTTCCTTTGATCTTTCCTTTCCTAATCTTTTCTTTCCTTTAATGACATTTCAAGCTTGGTAAATCAAGTATAAGACTGTAATCTGAGCACTTAAAGCATTTACATTCTTTTCAAAGACAACAATGTTTATAACCCTTGTCTTCTTGTTTGCAATTCACAGATTGTACAGAACGTTTAAGGACAGCAAGTATTTGTACATGTTGATGGAAGTGTGCCTGGGTGGAGAGCTCTGGACCATTCTCAGGGATAGGTAGGAGTTTTAAGAAATGTCTATCATTTCTCTAAAAACGTAGTTGACTATGATGGTCTATAAGAAGAGTTCATTATAAAGTATAAAAATCACTTACATGTTACATATGCTTATTTTTCAGAAAATAAGTAAATATGGGCTACAGCCCACCGTACATACATGCTTTAGTCAATGTGATGCTCGCTCTGTTTCTGATTTGTAACTAATGAGAAAGGCTTGGTCCAGCATGGAAATGGTAACCTAGCAAGGTATATGCACAGGTCTTTTTTTTTACCTTGAATTCAGCTAACTGTATGCCTAGAATTCAGTTTGTTGCTGTGACTGAAGGGAACAGAGGTAGGTTCTAGTTGCTATCTGGATTAACTGACAGCTTAATTGCTTTACTCATTGGCCAGATGGGCAGTCTGCCTTTTCTGACATTGAGAATTTTTTTTCCCCGAGTTACTTTTTCTTCTGGCTTTACATTGCTCTTTGGTTGCAAAATTAACAAGGTGGTCTCGTTAGTGCTTGTTTCTATCTCTTATTTATAGAACTAGCAAAGTAAAATCTATTCTATAAAATGTCCCAGGAGATCATGATCAATCCGAAATTTTTACTTAAAAGACAATTTTCTTTTCCTGTGAATGATCTTTTGATCATTTCCTATGACTGATCAAACATTTAGAAGTCATCCTTGTTCCTTTGAAGGTTCACCTTTTGACATCTTTTCTTTTTTCCTATTTGTTACAGCCTTAACCCACGTCCTCCTTCATTGGGTAACATCTCACTGAAACTCTGTTGTAGACTGCCCTGTTGTTCCCAGAAAGCAGTGCTATTTTTTGACAGCGTGTTACTCTGTAGATATCCCAGCATAGTAATTGACAGAAAACCCAGAGTAGCTTATGAAGTCTCATCCCTAAGAGCATTCTTATGGTAACTTTACGTCTTTGGAAACCTTGAGCTTTCAGGTCTTATCTCCTTTGCCTGCCTGGTATATACCAAACGGATTTCTTTTTACCTTATCTTGTCTTACTTACATTGATGTTGTGTTTCACTTCTTAAATTTAAGGGCAATGCATCATGTTGGCATTAGGGGCCAGGGTAAACATCTGTACTAAGATGTTTATACTGCATTATTACATTATTTCTAGTAATATTTGAGCACAGATCATATGCCAGGCATTGTGCTGGAAGCTGGGGATACGATTAGAAAAAGATGTGATCCCCTTCTCATAATTTGCAGACTGCTGCATAAAGTTCCCATTCTGATTTGTGAGTTAATGTCTGCTTCATCCTAATGTGGTTCTCCTATTTTTGACCTGACCTTTCAATCCATTTTATTTGAAATATCTTCCCCGATTTGTTCTAATTAGAATAGAAGATTTACAGGTGGAAGTAAACATGAAAGCAATAATAAGCCCACAGAGGGAGAGGAAATAGTTTAAGCTTTTATTAACTTCTTTAAGCAGGCAACAACAATACAAATCAATCTCAAGTCCACTTACGGGCCATCAAACATGCATAGGAATCCAATTTCAATCTAGTTTGTGAAAGAAAATATTATTTCCGATTTCTCCCTATTTAACTCGATTTGCATTTTGTTGGCTCATAAATGCCAGCCAAGGCTTCCGACGGAGAAGTATTTTGATCGGCCAGGGCACCTCAGGTTGCCATGTAAAAGTGGATGGAGGCAAAATATTAGTGGGTGGTCCTTTCTCTGCCTCAACCTGGATGCTTTTTGGTCAGGACCATTTCCTTCCCTTTTATCATCCCTGGGTTTGGGATACACGGTTGGGGAGTCCCCCGCAGTGCGCTTACTACTCCATGAAGAGGCATGATCTGGAGATAGAAAGGCTACCTGTTCCTTCCTAAAGATTCAGGAGGGCTGAAGCCTCGGTGTTAAAAGCAATAGAACTATTATATATGCATGTAGCACCTTATTGCTTTTATTCTCTTCCCCCCCCCGCCGCTACTCAAAAAATTGGTTCTGGGGTTTGGGGGCGGTGGGGGGAATAATTGTGGAGCTCTAGGCTCCAGTTACTACTGCCACTGACTAGCTCTCTATTTGTCTGAGGCTGGAAGTCCTCAAGGTTAGTTATTAGAAAGAAACAACCACCACCACCAAAAAATGCCAAGGGACAAAGGAAAACAATTAGTTATGCTCTTAGTCACAGTATATATGAAAATTTCCGGGGTCAAAACAAATCCCATTCAATTCATTCCGTTTTCTTTTCGCATCCGAGGAAAGCAGCAGTAGGGAGTAGCTATTCTGAAAGGATAAAGGAAATGGATTGGGGTTGATTTTAAGAAAGGTTTGTGTGACTATTCTTGACCGACATGGTAATACCTCTAAGCCTCAGGGATTTAGCAAAGGAAGTCTGGAGAGCGACAGCCCTCGCGCCTCCTGTCACCTAGTAAGTGAGAGGGCCACCTCCTGCCCCTTTTTTTGTCTCATCCACTTAGAAAAGGACCACACAGTGTTTCTGTTGTTGTCAAAAACTAAGAATTAAAATACTATAAAAAATAAAATGATACCACGTAGACCAACAGACTATTAAGTATTTATCTCTGAGACAGATATAACTAACACCCCTGACATGTTAATTGTTGCAATTATTTCTTTGGTTTAGTCTTTAGTAGCTCTCATGTTTTGGCTTCTCACTTGTGACTTTGTGTTTTCCACACCTTCTGTACCACCATTTGGAATAGGTGGGTACACGTTTTATTTTATTCACCTTTCCTCCATAATACTTAAAGAACTGGCAATCCCTACAACTTTCTTAATATATAAATGCTAATATATCCTAATATGGTTTTTATAGTAATCTAAAACTCATTTCAACTGTTAATTTTTTTTAATATCTGTTAATATTTCCTACTGAATAGCTTATTTCAGAAACCATAATTTTCAAATCACACACCTCTCACTTCTAGTCATGTGTCCTCCTGGACGTGTTTTGTAAGAGGGCGAGTAACTTAAATCTCCATTCTCTTTGATTCTAACTATACTGTGGAGGGTAATCATTTAAATTCCATCCAGGATGCCCAAATGGATAGTGCAAATCAAAAGTATTTCAAGGGGTCAGGAGGGGAGCAGAATCAGAGGATCCTGAACTCACCTCATTCCGGGGACGCACCAAGATGACAGCTACATTTCGACAAAGAACTCTGAAAACAACCTGAAGACTGTCAGAGCAAGCCTTCCTCAGTTCATCGTAGAGAAGAGCCCACATCGGGAAGGGTAAGAGGCACGGACCCACGGCTGGGAACCAGACCGCCCATGAGATGAATCACAGCCAGGAGGGACACCGCCAGCATGGAAAGCGGGAGGACCAGACCCCCACCCCAGGTCCCCCCAGCACGAGGGGTCGGCACGGGGATAACCAGGGCCCATACCATTTGGTTTGGAAAACCAATGATGCCTCACTCAGCAAGGGCTTAAAATCAGCTGGGGGCTTGGCTCCAGGTACTTGAGACATCTCCAGAAGAGCCTGAGGGCAACAGAAAACGGAGTCCCCACCCTTAAAGAACCAGCATAATAAATAAGCTGCCAGGAGGGCACAGAAACGGCAATTTGAAAAGTGCCTGGAGTCACGTGAAGGACATTTATTTCCAGAGTATGCACCGGAGCGGCAGGAACCTTCTCCAGGAAAAAAAGGGCTGGCAGGCATTTCTGTTCCCTTTTCCAGCCTCGATGGGCAGACACTTGGGGAAGCCAGGACTCTAGCACTGCATGCCCCACTCCCACATTCCCTGTGGACCCATCTCCTTCAACCTGCTTCCCTCAGCAGCCATCCCTCCAAAGGGATTCCTGCTTGCCGGGGGCGGGGTGGGGGGGCAGCAGAGGGCAAGATAAACCACAGCACAGCTCCCATAGCCAAGCCTTTGAGTTACCGGCACAGGGGGGAAAAGAAAACCTGCCCTTTGGTGCACCCACAGCTGTTGCAGAAAGACCAAGTGCGGCCAGCTCACCGAGTGACCTTGCCACTTAATTTCTTGCAGGTGGGCAGGGAAAAAAAGACAACAATCCCATTTATAATTGCACCAAGAAGAATAAGATACCTAGGAATAAACTTAAGCAAGGAGGTAAAAGATCTGTAATGAAAGAAATTGATGATGATGCAAACAAACAGAAAAATATTCCATGCCTCTGGATTGGAAGAATATTAAAATGTCCATTACTGCCAAAGGACTCTACAGATTCATTGCAATCTCCATCAGAATACCAATTGTATTTTTCTCAGAACTGGAGTAATCCCAAAAAAGAACCACCAAGCTGGAGGTATCATAATCCTGGATCTCCAGATATACTACAAAGCTTTAGTAATCGAACCAATATGGCACTGGCACAAAAACAGACACACGGATCAATAGAACAGAATAGGGGGCCCAGAAATAAACTGACACTATTATATGGTTAATTAATCTACAACAAAGGCAAGAATATACAATGGGGAAAAGGCAATCTCTTCAAAGAGCGCTGGGAAAACTGGACAGCTACATGCCAAAGAACGAAACTGGACCATTTTCTTACGCTGTACACAAAAATAAACTGAAAATGGATTGAAGACCTAAATGTGAGACCTGACAACTTCGAAAAGAAAACAGGGGTAGTAATCTCTTTGATATCACCTTTAGCAACATTTTTCTAGATCCACCTCCTCAGACAAGGGAAGCAAAAGCAAAAATAAACTATTGGGACTACACACAAATAAAAAGCTTCTGCACAGCAAAGGTAACCATCAGCAAACGAGAAGGCAACCGAGTGAATAAGAAGATATTTGCAAATGCTATAATCGATCAAAAAAAAGTCCAAATAACAAATGAGCAGAGGACCTGAACATTCATTTTTCCAAAGAAGACATATAGTAGCCAACAGCCCCATGAAAAGCCACTCACCATCGCTCATCATCAGGGAAATGCACATCAAAGCCACAATGAGATACCACCTCCCCCCTGTCAGAATGGCTGGAATCAAAAAGACAGAAACCCTCACACACTGTTGGTGGGAATGCAAGCTGGTGCGGCCACTCTGGAAGGAGTATGGGAGTTTGTCAAAAAATTAGAACTAGAACTACCCTATGATCCAGTAATTCTGTTCCAGGGTATTTACCCAAAAAAAAAAAAAAAAAAAAAAAACCACAAACAAAAACACTAATGTGAAAGGATCCATGCATCCCTGTGTTTACTGCAGCATGATTTACAGTAGCCAAATTAGGAAGCGGCCCAAGTGTCCAACAACAAATGAACGGATAAGATGGGGTGTGTGCATACAGTGGAACATTACTCAGCCATAAAAAAGAATGAGAGCTTGCTATTTGCAACCACACAGATGGACCCAGAGAGTATTGTACTAAGTGAAATGAGTCAGAGAAAGACAAATACCATATGATTTCACTCATCTGTGGACTCCTGAAAACAAGACAGACTCTTAAATACAAAGACCAGACAAGTTTGTCTCCTCCAGAGGAGAGGTTGGTGGGGGAAGGGGAACGGGCGAAATACATAAAGGGGATGAAGAAGTACAAACTTCCAGTTATAAATCAGTCACCGAGAGGAAAAATACGGCATTGGGAATATAGCCAGTAATACCGCAATAACATATGGTGACAGTGACTCCACTCACCGTGGTGAGCACTGAGTGATGTATAGTCCACTGAATCATTATGTTGTACAAACACTGTATTTTAATTACACTTTGACAACAACAAAAAGCAAAGTATTTCAAGGAAATGAGTCTACTTTCATACTAATGTAGCCTCCCTAGCTTTACAGTTGGCAGTGAACCTTCACGGGCTGCAACACCCTTCAGGTGTGTACTCACTGATGACTGGGGTTAGTAGACACAAGAGGGAACATGCTTTGTCGTTGTTGCTTTCTGTCATTCCAGGACTCCGTTTATGACAAGTTGATTAAATGCTGTGATGAAATGGAAAGCTGGGTCTATCCATGAGTATACATACTTCTCTAGTTCTCTCAAAATGTTACCTACTGCCCTCTAGCTAACAGGAAATTACCAGCCCCTTCTCGAAGAAGGTGTGAGGCCCCATTCCGTATTTAATTGAAATGACACAACTGTCAGGGCATAATTTATTATTTTCAAGACTTTCTTTAAGCAACTTTCTGTTGATAAAACAAGCTTTCATTTTTGTTTTAGATCAAATATATGTTGTCATTTTCAATTCTAATAGTAATTTTTCATTTTGAGTCCCCCTGATGCTATGCTTTCTGACTGCTTTCCAGACGTGTATTTTAAAATCCACAAATTACCCACATCAAAGGTTTAGGGATGAAGCTGTGAAGCTGATACATATTTTGTATGCATATATTATGCCGATTTGTCACATAACAGATTTGAGATAGCGTTTTCATTTAATTCTAAAAATCACTTACAAATATGCTTCTATAGAGGAGAGACTCAAAAGAGATTTTTAAAGGAATGGAAACCAGCTTTCTAGAACCTTCCAAATCCCAAAATGGCTCAGAATCAGAGAAACCTTGAAGACCCAAAGGTGAATGTTGGTGGTCAGTTCACCTGATGACGAAAGCGGGCAGGCAATCTGTACATTTGTGAGAAGTGTAGAGAAAATGAAAAGAACAGAGTTTACCCATGGTAGTTAGCCTTGGCCGTGAAAAGCAGCAAATACCCCAAAGACAGTGTTAATTAGGTATTGCAGACCCCTCCTTCCCATCCCCAGAAGACTTCAGACCTGTCCATGTCATTCAGTTTTTCTAGATTAAGACACAGCAGCTGAAGACGACTTTTTTGGTGCTCAAGTAGATTGGCTCATATTTCTCAGGTACCCGGTTGTGTGCCAGGCACTAATTCTAAATATACGTATCAATTATTTGTACCCTTAAGACAATCCAATGCAATAGTTTCTATTACTAGCCCCATCTTGCACAAGGGAATCATAGAGTCTGAGGGAGGTACAGGGCGTTGCTCAACATTAAACAAGCGAAACCCAAATGTGAGCCCAGGATTCTTGCTTCGGTGTCCATATTCCTAACTTAGAGCCTCCTCTTATGAATCTGAGTTTGTATTAGGATTTTTTTTTTCCATCTTCCTGCTAATGACCAACTTAGAATATAAATATGAGATTTATCTTCAGCAGAGATTCCCTGAGAAGTTGATCTCTCCTAAGTGTTCACTTTCCTGACAATATTCACAACGTATTTGTCCATTTGGTTCCATTAACAAGTGACTATTAAGGAAAACAGAGATGTTGCCCAAAGTCACAACTGCAGAAATAATCTCCAAGAGTAATCAAGAATTTGTAGGCTTTCAAAAAGGCCCAACGCAATCACAGGACTGATACAAGGAAGTCACCAAGTCTCTCATTAAAACATGTAATGTGAAATAAGACAAAGCTATATTCCACGTACTGTCTGGTTTTGTTTTGGTTCTGCCGTGACTTTGCAAAGCTCTCCAGTGACGAAGGACTGGAGTCGCGTAGGGCACTCGGTACAGTTCAAGTGGTGCTCACTACCTGCATGGGGGATGCTAACTATTCACTACCGGTGATCTCCAGTTCAAAGACATCCGCTCCTCTTCATGGGCAAGCATACTTGCTTCAGGGCAAAGAAGAAAGGGCCTTCAAGGCACTACTCCAACCCCTTTCTCAATACACAGAATTGCACAGTGTTCCCTCTGCAAAGAGAGTTCCAAGGCAGCAGACAATGGCAGCATACAATGCATCATTCCTGCTCTAAGAAACTTTTTTTTCTTGTCCTTATAAATTCACAATTGTTTCATCCAGACATTGTTGAAGAGAAACTAGAATCTTCATAATTATAGTGAAGATTCTAGTAGCTGTAAGAGTAGATATCCTCATGCCTTGAATTGTATTTCAAAAGGAAGATGTTTCTTTGGGAAGAGCTAATTGTTTCGGTGACAACTCAGGGGACATTAGTAGTTGAGGAACTTTCTAGAAGAAACTAGGTCTTTGTAAAAATGACCTGAAAGGTGTTGCTTTTGCCTTAGATTCACTGCTCCATTTTGTAAAAAAAAAATGCCAGTCATGTTCGACTTCCCGGTGTGTTAACCTCTACTCCTCAATACTGAAAAAAGCAGCAAAAGTCACCAAAATGCAAACTGACATCAGGGACTGTAGTGGAAGTGAGTTTGGAGCCACACTCCCTTTAACGGCCAGTGTGCTCATCTCTTGTGTTACCTCACAGCCTCCTTTGGAGCAGCTGTTCACAGGTATGTTCCAGAAATATCAGGAAATCATTACGTTACATTGACTACTTGGGAAAAGGGAAATACAGTTTTGTTTTTCCCATGAAATTCTTTAAAAAGATAAACAGTTAAAGCATAAAGGTTCTGGGCGCCTGGGTGGCTCAGTCGTTAAGCATCTGCCTTCAGCTCAGGTCATGGTCCCAGGGTCCTGGGGTCGAGTCCCACATCGGGCTCCCTGCTCCCCAGAGAGCCTGCTTCTCCTTCCCCAGCCCCCACTCCCCCAGCTTGTGTTCCCTCTCTCACTGTGTCTCTGTTAAATAAATAAAGAAAATCTTAAAAAAAAAAAAAAGTATAAAGGTTCTGCTGTGGAACCAAGGAGCTAACCTTAGATGCTGATGTTTTTGTTTTTTGGGTTTTGTCCCCCTTTATTGTTATTTCATTAAAAAAAAGTAAAGAGAGGGAGAGACTTTGGGCTTTCTTGCTAAACCTCAGAATCAAGTTTCCTAATCTATATTCCCTTCCAAGTACCTTTTTCCTTCGACTTATCTCTTTACCCCATCTTTTCTTACTAAGAGGGGGCAATAAGGGTGAGACAGAGGTATTATGTCTCTTGCTGGCAAAAGTTTCAAAAACAGAGTATTTAGCTTGTGAGATATGATTACGTCATAGCATCATACCTCATTTCCTAAGTGGTTCTTTGAAAACATTACCTTTTTAATTCATCCTCTCATGAACTGTATCTGAATTTAGGGAGATTCAGAAACAAGCTCTCTAAAAATAAATATGACTGAATCTATAAACTTCTCCTTAATGAAACAAACCCGTGAAATAGGACTCAAGTCTCCCCCTGGCCAGAAGCTGTGCCTTGGTTGAGGGCAGGGGGCTGCTGGGAGGAAGCCACCAAGTTCGCAGAAGAACTGTGTGGTTGAGCTCTTCTGCAGGCTTGCAGGTTACCTTTAACTATCCCTTCCTAAGGGCAAAGAATTCCATGACTTGATCCTCACATGCTCTGGAAAACCCAAGGCCGTGCCCATCCTGTGACATTTGGCCGGAGGACGTGGGTCTCTGGGGTCAAACTTTGGCAAAGGAACATCAGGAAATGAGAACACGTAACTAAAATCGTATCCGAGAAACTAATGTGTTATGTGCTTTCGTTTTCCGGATCTCAGAGGTTCATTTGAAGATTCTACGACCAGATTTTACACAGCATGCGTGGTGGAAGCGTTCGCCTATCTGCATTCCAAAGGAATCATTTATAGGGACCTCAAGCCAGAAAATCTCATCCTGGATCACAGAGGCTACACCAAGCTGGTCAGTACACTCTACACACGGTGTCCGCCCTGCAGTTTTTTAAAATACTCACTTGGCAAGCTGTGTTCATTAACATCTCCATTTCCCCTTGTAAATGCTGTTAACTTTTCTTAAAAGCAGATTTGAGAGTTACTATTTTCAACCAACCATTCTTTTCAAATGATGCAAAAGTTTTATAAGAAATTAAATTGGCTAAATCTAAATTAATACTCCCTTGGCAGACTGTGTTTCAATGGCTGTGTTCTAGACCTAGAAGACCTTTGTAGACCTCTTCTGAATCTGCTTTCTGCCATTCACAGGGGATATTTACATTGTAGAAAACCATGAATCGTTTTAATATTTTAGATTCAGGTATAATCTTTACGATTTTACTTATTTGAGAGAGAAAGCAAGAGCGAGAACACGAGCTGGGGAGAGAGGCAGACTCCCCACTGAGCAAGGAGCCCGCAGAAGGACTCGATCCCAGGCCCCTGGGATCATGACCTGAGCCTAACATAGCCTCTTAACTGACTGAGCTATCCAGGCACCCTGTTTTATGTATAAGCTTAAGGGGGGGCGGGGGGGGCTTGGTAGGTGATATTATCCAGGCCATTTTAATTATAATAGTGGTGATCAATAATAAAATGGGTCACTCTAAAGACTTAACTGTAGGAGGGAAGTTCTCTTATTATAAAATGTACAATTTTTATGGCCCTTGCATCTGCCAGTGCCTATTTTTTTAAACTTTTGGAATTTCTATTCAGCATACGGTGTTCAAAGAAATCAAATCGAGGCAGTTAATGAGTTAGATTCTCAACCAAATTGTTTTAGAAAAAAATAGATTTTCAGCATTTGATGTTCCTCCATCAAAAGGTTTCTAGAAGAACAAAGAACACATTTGCATTTTATCCCTGTTTGTGTTTACCAAGGGTGGGGATGAACTTCGTGACTCAGCTCCTTCAGCAGTGAAGTGGCTTCTCGATACTAAATGGATTGTCAACCTCCTCAAGCCAGCAGAAATCATGCATATTCTGGAAAATTTGTCAAGGAGGTCCAACGGGTCTTGTAAACATTTTCAGTAAAGGAGTTCTGGCCCAACCTCCCTTGGCATGAAAGGAAGGAAAGATGGAAAATATTTCTGGAAAGAAAGATTTGCCTTTATTTGTAATGATGTCAGTTTCCTCCTGTACTCAGCTTTCAACTTTTCCTATTGAACCTGAGTTTGATCAGGGAGGCTGTATTGTTTGAAGTAGAGACAACCCCTTCTAGACCATAGGACTACAGTAATGGGCATCTGTTTTTATTGTACTATAAGTGCACCACAGCTCAGTAACTTACTGCTTTTAAGCTTACTCTCAGGGTCTCAAAATAACTTGTTTTTCTCTTTTTGTAAGGTTGATTTTGGCTTTGCAAAGAAAATAGGATTTGGAAAGAAAACATGGACTTTTTGTGGGACTCCAGAGTACGTAGCTCCAGAGATCATCCTGAACAAAGGCCATGACATTTCCGCCGACTACTGGTCACTAGGAATCCTAATGTATGAACTTCTGACTGGCAGGTATGGACATTGACATAGAACCACTGATAAAAATAGACCAGCAGACAGCTGCAAACTTGTGCCTTTACCCCTCTGCTCAGGCCGTCTTAAAGCACATCTCACGACTTCTTGTTCCAACATTGCCATTAATTATGCTACTGACCAGGAGTTCATAAAACAAACCCTAAAACAGGTCCAATGAGGGCAAAAGAAACTCAACATCCACTTTTGGCCTCCTCATTGCTAAATCTTTATACATATATGAGAATGTGGAAAAATCCTGGGTCTTTCTGTGAGGTCTTTGAGCCTAGGTGCTTAGCCAGCAATGAAGCAAGGGAGAGAATAGTGTTGTACAAATACCTAGGGGCAACTATTTATAGAAAGAGGAGGACATATTAACAATTGTTGTATCTAAATGAAATGTGAATGCTTTGCAGGTCTTCTGTGGAATAATATTATAGTCATCCACAACTAAATACTTCCAGGCCTAAGATAGACTGTAAGCTCCTCAAGGAAAAGAAGAACACACCATCCTGCCATGCCCAGGTGACAAGGAGTAGCAGGGTCATTATAGACCACAGAGTTCCAAAGAGGGCTTGGTTTGTCTGGGGCGGCTTTTGAATAAGGCAAGACTGTAGCCAGGCCCTAAAGGAAGAAAAGGGGCCCCCCTAGAGAATGACAGGGGAGATGGAAGTGAGAGGGTTGGGGACACAGGGGAGCCCCACCCCCAATGCGTGAACTGCAGTGGGGAGGCATAGGACAGGGGGGGTCTGTGAACTGATGTATCTGCCCCGGGCACAGGGAAAAAAAAAAAAGCTGGGGCTTAAAAGGGGAACTTCAAATAAAGGAACCAGCCCCAGAACCCTGCCAAATGGTGGGCGAGCTGCTGGAACTCTCTACAGGTCTGAGGGGCTGGTGAGCACCCCTACTTATGTTTGCTTCCCCTCCAACTTGATAGTGCAGAGGGGAGCAGAGCCCGGGCACCCTAGCTGGCTTGCCACCACAGTGAGCCCAGGCCCCTGGCCCGGCAGGTGTCCCACCAGTGTGGCCCCAGCATGGCACACACCAGGGTATGATGGCTCCAGCCGTCTCACCAAAGTAAAACAGGTGCACAGCACCCCAGAACACTCCGGGCATGCTCTGCTTTGGTTCTAGATGACTTGCCAGAATAACCCTTGTCCCCTACCCACCTTGACTCTAGCTGTCCTGCCAAGGAGCCCCCTTCCTGCAGAACCCCAGGACCACCCCACCTCATGCCCACCTCAGCTTCAGCTGTCCTGCCAGGCATCTTCTCTGCGGAGATCCCTGGGACTGCCCCCGCCCATGCCCACTTTGCTCTGGCCATCCTACCAGGATGGCCCCACACCAAACGGTCCATGCCCCCAAGCCCAGGACAGCTACAGCTATGTATAGCCAGCCACAGTCACCAGGCCACATAGTCTACACAGGGCTGACCATACACAAGAGCATGCCTTCAAGTGGAGGAGAAGTAGCTGTTCTGCTTAATTTATAGAAACAAAGCAAGTCAAGCAAAATGAGGAGAGAGAGGAACATGCTCCAAATGAAAGAACAACACAAAACTTAAAAAAAATGAAATGAAATGGAGGTAAGCATGGGTCAACTTTGTGAGAACTTGAACAAAGAGAGAGAAAAATAAAAAAAAAAACAATGAGTCAGAGTTGAAGAATAGTATAATGGAAATCAAAAATACACTGAAGGGAATCAGTAGGAAATTAGAACAGACAGAAGAATGGATCAGAGATCTAGAAGACAGAGAAATGGAAAGTACCCCAGGTGAACAAGAAAAAAAAAAAAGATCTCTTGGAAAATATCAATCTTCCCATTATCTAGGTCTCAGGAGGAGAAGAGAGAGGGGAAAAAAGGCAGACAACATATTTGCAGAAATAATAACTCAAAACTTCCCTAACCTAGAAAAGGAAGTAGACATCCAGATTTAGGAAACCCAAAAAGTTCCAAACAAGATAAACCCATGACTCATAATATTTAAAATGTCAAAGATTAAAGAGAAAGAGAACATTTCAAAAGCCAGAGAAAAGCTCCTAGTTATGTACAAGGGAAACCCCATAAGGCTATATAAGCTGATTTTTCAGCAGAAACTTTGCAATCACAAAGGAGCAGCATGATACATCCAAAGTGCCAAAAGGAAAAAACCTACACCCAAGAATACACTACCCATCAAGTTTATCATTCAGATTTGCAGGAGTGAGTTTCCCAGACCATCAAAATAATGGAGTTCATCATTATTAAACTGGCCTTACTAGTAAAAGAAAAAAAAAATGTTAAAGGGAATTCTTTAAGTTGAAAAGACCATAATTAGAAGAAAATTATGAAAGAAAAAAAACATTAGTAAAAGCAAACATACAGTAAAGGTAATAGAGCAATGACTTATAAGGCTAGTATGAAGATTAAGAGACAAAAGTAGTAAAATATGGAAAATATGACAATATATACACAAAGTGGCAGGAAGGGGGTAAAAAATCAAGTTCTTTTAGAGTGTGTTTGAACTTAAGACACCCTCAACTTAATATAGCCTATAAGTAGTATATTATATATGAACCTCATGGTAACCACAAACCTCAAAACTATAAAAGATACACAAAAAAATAAAGACAAAAAGATCAAACATAACACTACAGAAACTCATCAATCACAAGAGAACAAGAGAAAAAGAAAGTGAGAACTACAGAAACAACCAGAAAACAATTAACAAAATGGCAATAAGTACACACCTATCAATAGTAACTTTAACTGTAAATGGTCTAAATGCTCCAGTCAAAGACACAGAATGATGGAGTGGATAAAAAAGAAAAAAGACCTATCTGCATGCTGCTTACAAGAGGCAAACTTCAGACTTAAAGACACATACAGACTGAAAATTAAAAAAATGGAAAAAGATATTCCATGCAAAAGGAAGGCAAAGCAAATAAATAAATGAATGCTGCAGGAAGAATACTTATATCAGATAAAATAGACTAAAAAAAACTGTAACGAAGACAAACAAGCACTGCATAATGATAAAAGGATCAATCCAACAAGAGGATCTAACAGTTGTAAATATTGCTCCACCCAACATGAGAGCATCTAAATATAGCAAGCAAGTATGAACAGACATGAAGGGAGAAATGGACAGTCATACAGTAATAGTAGGGGACATTAACACCCACTTACATCAATGGACAGATCATCCAGGCAGAAAAATCAATATGAAACCGTGTCTTTGAAAGACACGTTAGATTAGATGGATGTACAGACCATTCCATCCCAAAGCATCAGAATACATTCTTTTCCCATGCACATGAACTATTCCCCAGGATAGAGCAAAACTTAGGCCACAAAACAGGGCTCAATACATTTAAGACTGCAATCCTATCAAGCGTGTTTTCCAACCACAATGGTATGAAACTACGAATCAATTACAAGAATAAAACTGGAAAAAAAATCATGGAGACAAATGAAAATGCAACAATCCAAAATCTTTGGGAAACCGCAAAATCAGTTCTAAGAAGGAAATTTTTAGAGGCACAGGCCTACTTCAAGAAACAAGAAAAATCTCAATCTAACCTTACACCTAATAAAACTAGAATAACAACAAAGGCCAAAGTTAGAAGGAAGGAAATAATAAAAATCAGAGAGAAAATAAATGAGAGACCAAAAAAATAATAATACACAAGATCAATGAAAGAGTTGTTTTGTTGAAAAAATAAACCTCTAGCAAGACTCATGAAGAAAAAAAGAGGATCCAGTATCCAAATAATTAAAATCAGAGATGAAAAGGAAGTAACAACTGACACCAACAAAATACAAACGTTGTAGATTGTCCACTTTGCTGGCATATAAAGAAATGGATACATTTCTAGAAATATACAATCAGGAAGAAATAGAAAATCTGAACAAACCTATAATGAGGAACAAAATTAAAGCAGTAATCCAAAAACCCCAACAAACAAAAGGGTAGGACCAGAAGGCTTCACAGGTGAATTCTACCCAACATTTAAAGAAGAGTTAAGAGCTAGTCTCCCCAAACTATTACAAAAGAATAGAGGAAGGAGAGTTTCCAAGTGCATTCTATGAGACCAGCACTGCACGGATACCAAAACCAAAGACACTACAAAAAAAGAACTACAGGCCAATATCCCTGAAGAACATGGATGCAAAAATTCTCAACAAAATGTTAGCAAACCACATTCGACAATCCATTAAAAGGATCATTCACTACAGTTAGGTGGGATTTATTCCAGGGTTGCAAGAGTGGTTCAGTATTTTCAAATCAATCAACATTATAAATCACATGAACAAGAGAAAGGGCGAAACCCATATGATCATCTCAATAGATGCATAAAAAGCTTTTGACAGAATTCAATATCTGTTGACAATACCGTCAGCAAAGTGGGTTTAGATAGAACATGCTTTAACCTAATATAGGCCCTATAGGAAAACCCAAAACCAAGATTTTCCTCTAAGATCCAGAAACAATACAAGGATGTCCACTGTGACCACTCTTATTCAACATAGTAATCGAAGTCATAGCTGAAGCAATCAGACAAGGAAAAGAAATAAAAGGTATCCAAACTGGTAAGGAAGAAGTTAAACTGTCACTACTTGCTGATGACCTAATACTATACATAGAAAACCATAAAGACGCGATCAAAAAACTGTTAGAAGTAATAAATGAATTCAGTAAAGTTGCAGGGTACAAAATTAATATACAGAAATCTGTTGTATTTCTATACACTAACAACAAAGTAGCAGCAAGAGAAATTAAGAAAGCTGATTCTATTTACAATTGCACCAAAAAGAATACAATAACTAAAAATAAATGTAACCAAGGAGGTGAAAGACCTGTTCTCTAAAAACTATAAAATAGTGATGAAAGAAATTGGAATAAATGGAAAGATATGCTATGTTCATGGATTGTAAGAATTAATATTGTTAAAATGTCCATACTACCCAAAGCACTCTATGGATTCAGTGCAATTCCTCTCAAAATGCCAGTAGCATTTTTCACAGAACAAGAACAAATAATACTGAACGCTGTATGGAACCACAAAAGACCTTGAATAGCCAAAGCAATCTCAAGAAAGAAGAAAAGAGCTGGAGGCATCACAATCCCAGATTTCAAGATATACTACAAAACTACAGTAATCAAAACACTATGGTACAGGCACAAAAATACACACCGAGATCTTTGGAACAGAATAGAGAGCCCAGAAATAATCATTTTCTTATATGGTCAATTATCTCCAACAAAGGAGGCAAGAATGTACAATAGGGAAAAAACAGTCTCTTCAACCAGTAGTTGGGAAAACTGGACAGCTGTATAGAAAAGAATGAAACTAGACCCCTTCCTTACACCATACACAAAAATAATCCCAAGATGGATAAAAGACCTAAATGCAAGACCTGAAACCATAAAACTCCTAGAAGAAATAACATAGGCAATAATTTTTTTTTTTTTTAAGATTTGGGGGAGAGAGAGAATGAGTGGGGGCAGAGAGAGAGAAGGGGAAACAGGGAGCTCGATTTAGGGCTCCATCCCACGACCCCCCAGTCATGACCTGAACCAAAGGCAGATGCTCAACCGAGCCTCCCAGGCACCCCAACAATCTTTTTCACATCGATGTTAGTAACATTTTTCTAGATATGTCTTTTAATGTAAGGGAAACAAAGGCAAAAATAAACTACACCAAAATTAAAAGGGTTTGCACAGCAAAGGAAACAACAAAACACCAAGGCAACCTAGTGAATGGGAGAAGATGTTTGCAAATAATATGTCCAATAATGAGTTAATATTCCAAAATATACAAGGAACTCATACAATTCAACACTAAAGAAACAGTTCAATTTAAAAATGAACAGAGGACCTAAATAGGACCTAAAGAGTAACTTTACCAAAAAAAGACATCCAGGTGGCCAACAGACACATGAGAAAGATGCTCAGTATCACTCATCATCAGGGAAATGCAAACCAAAACCACAATGAGATATCACCTCATACTTGTTAGAATGGTAAAGAGCAAATGATGGTGAGGGTGGAGGGAGAAAGAAACCCTTCATGCACTGTTGGTGGGAATGCAAGCTGGTGCAGCCACTGTGGGAAACAGTATGGAGGGTCCTCAAAAAACTAAAAATAGAGCTACCAAGCAATTCACTTCCACACTGGGTATTTCCCAAAGAAAAGGAAAATACTAATTCAAAAATATATAGGCACCCCTATGTTTATTGCAGCATTATTTACATCAGCCAAGTAAGGAAGGTAATCTAAGTGTCCGTCAATAGATAAATGGATAAAGAAGATGAGATAGATAAACACACAGAGGACTACTGCTCAGCCATAACGAAAGAATGGGATCTTGCCATCTGCAACAATATGGCTGGACCTAGTGGGTATCATGCTATGTGAAATAGGGCAGACAGAGAAAGACAAATACCATAGGATTTCACTTATACGTGGAATCTAAAAAAAGAAAAACTAAAAGAACAGAAACAGACCCATAAATACAGAGAACAAGCTGATGGTTGCCGCGGGTGGGTGGGTGGGGGGGAGTGGGCAAAAGGGGAGTGGGAGGTACAGGCTTCCAGCCATGGAATGAGGAAGTCCCGGGATGAAAGGCACAGCACAAGGAATGCAGTCTACGGTATGGTGCTATGTGGGGGCAGACGGTAGCGACACTTCCGGGGAGCAGAGCAGAACACACAGACTGGCAGAATCACTGTATCCTACACCTGAAACTAACATTGTGTGTCAGCTCTACTTCAGTAGAAAATTAGTGATACTGGGAGATCGATAAGCGTCATCTCGTGAGGATCACGGCTGCTACACTTGAATGTTTGCACTCCATCCAGAGGCGGTCATTGAGTATTTTCTGGAAAGGGGTAACCTCTGTGGTAGTATTTAGGAATAATGAGCCAGGAGTAATGTGTGGGGCAAGCCAGAAGAGGGACAGGCTAGCTGCTTGGAAGCTCACTCCAGTAACTCACATCTAGGAAGCTGAGAACTTAGAGCAGTTAAGATGCGGTGGAAAAGATTGCTTCAGAGAAAGTAGTAGCTGCCCTGAAAATGACAGGAAGACCTAGGACTTTTAGCCTCGGGTCCTTTGTGAGGCTTCAGTGAACAGAGAAAGCCCTGAGAAGAATGGGTGGAGCAGAGAGGACGCACTCCACAGACGCTGTAGCCACTCTCCTACTAACATCGGCAGGAGGAGTTGTGCTGAGGTCCTTGTCTGGAGCCTGCTCGTTGAAAGGAAATAATTTGAACTGCTTTTAGTGAAAGTGGGGGGCAAAAATAATAATCGTGAGAGACATGAACCCAGTATTAGGAGAATAGTCTCCCAAGAAATTATTTGTCCAGGTGTATCACTTTGATGGAAGGGGAGGGGTCTTTATCATCTCTGTGTTCCCTGAGCCTGGCACAAAGCTACCCTCCGAGGATGGATCTGGCTCGTGGGGGCCTCCTAATAAGGAGGCCTCGTGTCAGGTTATCTACTGAGGACTGATGAGCAGGGAGGGCAGGGGAGGAGGGGCACTCTTCTGCAGAAGGACTCGTTCAGCAGATGTTCACTGATCACGCGCTCTGTGCCGGGCATTCTCCCGGACTCTGGAACAACACTGAGTCCGGAAGGAAGGCAGAGAAAAAGCATAGCAAGTGGCAGAAGGGGTGTGTGAGAGAGCATAGCAGGCCACTCCAAAGTTTAAATTCAAGGGGCGCCTGGCTGGCTCAGTCGGTGGAGCATGCGACTCGTGACCTCAGGGTTGTGAGTTCAAGCCCCACGTTGGGTGCAGAGATTACATTAAAAAAATAAAATCTTAAAAAAACATATTGCAACGATCTAGTCTAATACTTGAATTTAAACTTTATGTTAGTTGATAGAGGTCATGGGATCAGTTCCGTGACCAGAAATGGCGTGCTGATCCGATTGAGCCAGGGTGGTGTTGGAAGGAGATGGCGTCCTATCACAGACGTCCTTGTATGTTCTAGTGAGGTTGCACTTCAGCTCAGGGGTAATCAAGGGCAGGGAAAGAGCTAGAAAGTGGAAGAAGCATCTTGAATGGCCAAGGACAGCAAGAGGGGTTCAGCACCTGCACGAAAAAGACAAACTTGACCCATGTATGGTTTTGCTAAGCGATCTCCTTGAAAAGGTTTCCATGCTGTTTTGCTATTGATCCAGCATCATTCCCTTACCACGACTCATATATGTCCCTAGATAAGAACTGATATAATTTGTGGACTTGTAACAATTTAAGATTTCTTATTTAGAAAACCAAAGTGATTCTCTTTTCACGTCTCCTTCTCACAGCCCACCTTTCTCAGGCCCAGATCCTATGAAAACCTATAACATCATACTGAGGGGGATTGACATGATAGAATTTCCAAAGAAGATCGCCAAAAATGCTGCTAATTTAATTAAAAAACTATGCAGGTAAGCATTTCAGCCCCATGGCTTTTGAAAGGATCATAATGCCAAAGTGATTCGATTCCTTAAAGTTCTTATTTTCGTTCCAGGGATAACCCATCAGAAAGATTGGGGAATTTGAAAAATGGCGTGAAAGACATTCAGAAGCACAAGTAAGTGTTCTTTCCTTGTCCCTATCGGTGGAGGGTCCAGAAAGCAGGACAGGTACCTCCCCAGGCTGGGTGATGGGTAGTTAGCCTACGGAAACATCCAGGGGGACGTGAGACCAGTTAGCCTTCTGATCTGAGGCCCTGGTGCTTGGGTGTCTTGGAAACATCACACAAATACACACGACCCCTGAGCCATACTAAGCGACTGATTCACTGAATTCAGTTTCTTCCAACTCCCACTAGTGGGCATTTTTCCTCTCTGGCACAAAGAGGAAATGTGTACTTATAATTCTGGAATTCTGTTCTCTACCAGGGTATCAAAAACCAAAGTCCTCTACCATATCATGCCTCATTTCCCAGACTAAAACTGGAATATATTTTCCCACCACTTCCTTAACTAGATGATAAAACAGAAAAAGTACAGAGTACAGTGGCTTTCTTTAAACCACAGCAACATCTTAAATACTAAACTTTATCTAGTTAATTGGATATTTAAATGCTAAACTAAGACCAAAAAGGTTTTTATTAGTCTATTTTGGTAACACTCACAAGAAATTCATATCCCTACCAGAAGAACTTATTCATCAAAATATCTGTAAATATCTAAAACACCTGCTAAGAATTTGGTGTAAGCATTTGCTACTTTAAGGACAAAACCAAAAACCTTAGTGTTATCTGGTCCTCATTTTCACAGGAAAAACTACACAAAATACCTTCAGTCTATTTTAATTAAATGTGTTGACATTTTATTAGGAATTGCTATGGCCCTAGTATTGCATATTTAATGTTTTTTTTTTCTTCTATGAACACACACAAAAAAGTGCCAAGTCAGAGTTAGACCTAATACAGTGATGTGGAAAGGTTAATTAACTGAGGCTGCCCACAGAATCAGTGCAAAGCTGAAAGGATAATTTTCTGTCCTGACTTTTGATGCCCTGGTTCTATAGCCTTAAAATAAAATGTCCTGTAAGGCTCAGGGCCAAGCATATCATGACATTTATTAAGTTATAATGATAGTGTAGGAACAAGGTCATACAGTCTGCCTGAAATTGCTAGAAAAGGAATTATTTTCTAGTTGGTGCTAAATATTTCAACAATTAACTTTTATGGAATGCATCTTTTAAATAAACCTGGCCCTAAAAATTTGCAATTAAATAGAATACACATTCTTTCACATTGAAAATGTTTGCCTAGCTGCTTTCTATCACATATGTTGCAATGAGGTTTTAGCTGAAGTAAAATACCTTTAACTAGCTACCTTTTTTTTTTTCCTTTCCTAGATGGTTTGAGGGCTTTAATTGGGAAGGCTTAAGAAAAGGCACCTTGACACCTCCTATAATACCAAGTGTAAGTAGACCATCCAGCTTATATTTCTGTGACACACGTATGGTGCTTAGGTCAGTTGTTAAAAGTTTTATCCTATGATCAGCTTAAATAAACTACAGGAGAAGTACCACCTTAGAATAATGGCATTGAAAACCCAAGCTTAAACACAGGTCCCTTAGGGGATGGTTGTTTTATGTGTATTTTACCATTACCTTTTTAAACTATTCATTCTACTTTCCTTTATTTGTGAATAAAAATGGACTTTTAGTACAGTAAGTGTTAAATATCCAGTGATGTAGACAAAAGAGCATAATGGGTGTCCAGCAACCAGTTTTTTTTCAGAATATATAAACTTCATACATCATTGCCCAAGAATGCATGAACAACTTTAATGAATTAGGCTTCTTGATGAATTATGACCAGTTTAGTGTATACAAGAGTATACTTGGGTGAGTTAGGGCAGTGGGCTGTTATTTTGTCTTTATGATCCCAGGTTATGCCCCACCTTGCTCTGTCCCCAGGAGCCTAACCTGTAAGAGCCACTCAGAGCATTCCTGTGCTCTCTGGTTGGGTTTGGTCAACAGTCCAACGGCCATTTTCAACAGCTACCAATTCCTGGCCAATAGTGTTTCTATTTATGCCTCCGTATCACTTCGAAGTACTCCCAGGCAATACCGTGTTCATTTATCCTTTCATGAGGCTCTAAAAGAAAAGGATTCTCTTTCCTGAACTGTCTTTTCTGAACACATCAGGCGTTTTGTTAAATAGCAGCCCGGTGACGGTGATCAAGTGTTTGGCACCTTTACATATTTGTATCTGATACTGCATCTGTCCGATGAAATGTGCTGCATCTTTACAAAGAAAGAGGGGGCTGCTGTCCTGTCCTGAGCCATTCAGATATATACTTCATTTTTCTGGGACTAACTCAAGACTGCTCTTGAGACAGAACCATTTTCCCTACTGCTAAGATTTATTTCTGTGGCGACGTTTGTGTTTATTCCAGACAAAACACAAATCCCATTACCATACCTCCCATTACAGATGCTAATGGCATTCCTGAGGTTCTGTTTTTAGAATAAATTAGAGTAAGAAACTTGGAGGTGTAAATGGTAAGCCGAAATGATACTTACCTAAATCTATCAGCAGTTTCCTTTTATGTAACCGTAATACTGAATGGGATATATTTATGGATATACCCATATATATTTCATTCAATATTAGTGTCTCAGTGGTTGTAAATATTCTAGAAGATGAGGGAAACTAAAGCATGGATTTTCACCGCTTTTACTGATGCTCTCCGGATTGGACTTTACCCAGTAAATTTGCAAGAGTTTTGGAATGGCTTTTTATTATACTTGAAATACCACAAAAGCCTTAAGATGGCCTCCAAGGCTCTTCACGACAGGATTTCTGCCTCTTTTTCCTATTTCTCTTTCCACTACTCTCCTCTCTTATAGAGCAGCCACCTTGGCCTTCTTTGGTTACATCACAGCATGAAGCACTCTTTCTCACCTCAGGACCTTTGCACGTGCAAAAATCGAACTCATCGAGTCTTAGTTTTGAAATAATATTTTTTCAAAGAGGCTTTCCATCGTCACTCTTACACTCTTTTTTTCTTCACAGCAGTAACCAAACTTTGTTTGTTTGAATCCGACAATGTACCCTCCGCTAGAGTAGAAACTTCTTGAGGATAAGAGCCATGTCTGTTTTTATTCAGTGCTGTTCCCCCCTATACAAAGCACAAAACCTGGTAGACACTCAAAAAAAAAAAAATAGTTGTCGATGAGGGCATGAATAAAGAACGCTTTGTAAAACTCTCCTTTGGAATTTGACTCACAAATGAAGAAATCCTTTCCCTGTCCATCCTCTCGTGTGCAGGTTGCATCACCCACAGACACAAGCAATTTTGACAGTTTCCCTGAGGACAATGACGAACCGCCACCTGACGACAACTCAGGATGGGACATAGACTTCTAATGTATTTCTCTTACCTGCTTCTGCCTTGCTGAAGTCAGCTTTTTCTGAGACACAGCTGCCAGCAAACCTGAGGGACGGAGAGAAGATTAGTGCTCGGGGTCACCATGATGCCTTTGATCGATGCTGCTCCAGTAACTGCAGTGGCATTAGGACAACAGTGCTCTATACATGTTTTCTGTTTGATCCTAAAAATAGCAGTTGACATGGTGGTCCTGAAGCAAAGCCTTTCACACCAGTCAAGAGGTGTCTTCTAGTGTTGGAATGATCTTGCTTTGCTCTATAATTTGAAAGACTGCCAGAAACACTTCAGTCTAGTAAAAGCGTCTGCACCTTGCTAGAATTATCAAGAAGATCAAAAAAATTAAATATTGGGTACGATAGATGACGGTGGTACAAAAACTGGGAGCTTCCTTTCCTTTTCCCGTGAGGGCATAGGATACATTCAGATACATTCGCGCAAGCCGGAAGAGGGTCACGCATCCGTTGGTCACAGAGGTCATGGCAAACCAGTGCTAGAAGTTTCATGATTTAATTTCCCAGCAGTGCTGATGACGAGACTGAATGTTACCTTTCCTTTCCGACAGATTTTAAAAATTGATACGATAAAAGCACAACTGCTATAGGTTCTGCTGAGAACTCTCATAGCAGGTATATATGCGTTTTCACAGGATTGAAAAACAAAACAACAACATGCATGATATCTGTTTCTTTTCTCGATAAATTGGCATGACAGAGTGGGGAAAAAAAACAAAAAGCAACTCACAAACCATTTCATATCTTTTAAAACGTTGTGCTTCAAGATGGTCCTGGAAATAAATGACTAGCAGCCAATTGATTTTTATTTATTACTTAACATGCCCTCAGACTGAGGCTTAAAATATTCCCTTTTATAAAAAGAAACCCTTGGGGGGGGTGGGGTGGAGAGGGACTAAGATCCATCCAAAAATAAAAATAAGAAACTATATAGGTGCTATGTATATCTTTCATCTGTAAATGTCCGTGTCTGAGCAGACAACACAAATTCTACTCATCACCTGTGTAGCCAGAGACTCAAGCATTCTTCACTACATTTACCAACCAAACTCCCGTCCGATTTCACTTACACAACATAGCCAAGGGTTGAGGGGGAAAGGTGATTGAAACCCATTCAGCTGGCTTCTTGTCTTAGGCCTGAACCGGAAAGAAGACGAGGAAAGCACAAAACCATTGAGATTCAGCAGATGAGAAAGCTTGCTTCTGTGAGGTCAGGGAACGGGACCAGACCTAGCCCGCTGCTGATGACCTTGTGGAGAATGAGCCACTGTGAGTTCATGCACATGTGAGAGTAGGGAGAGGGTCGAGAAGAAAACAGGACGCCTATTTCTCAAACATAAATTTTAGCTACCTAGGACAGAAATATTGCAATCCTGTAATGTACTGGAAAATACCAAACTTACTTGCTTTTCTCATGAGGGCTAAGGGAGGAGCATTTAAACTGAGTCCTTTGTTGGCAGGCGAGTTGACTAAACTGTCCCTAGGTAGCAGACTGTTCTGGAGGCTCTTCCTGGACAAGTAGCATTCTCCCTGAGTAAACAAATGCATACTCTTATATTAAATTGAAGGTTGCTTTTTTCCAGTATAAAGTTTTTTTTTTAAATCAATGAAACGTAAACATTTCTGCAAAAAATATATCCACACAGGTCATTACACCATATCCGAGAAGGCATATATTATGATTTCTGTTTGAATTTTTCATACCAAGAGTACTTTAGAATATGGTATCAAAACATAATCTTTGAAACATTTGGGGAATAAAAATACTAAGGGCATACTATATATAATCAGAATAAAGTTACATTGAAAGTTTGATCCCAAGATGTTACTGTAATTCTTGTGTTAGAGTTTTCCCTCCCTTACAAATAATTGCTCAAGATCAATTCATTCCCCAAGATACCCACATTCTTCTACAGATATCAGAATATAAAATTAAACCTATCAACCTAAAATCCAGCTATGAATGCTATTTCAGCATTTTCACATTGCTTTTAACTGGACTTTTAAAAGTATACAATTTCAACATCATGGTCACTGTTCAGTGGTTTTTGTTTAAAGACAGAGCAGTTTAGGCCCGCTAAAGGTTTGCTAGAATACTAAGTTCATCTAGTCACTAATTAAGAGATTCTGAGAGTCTGCTCCTGCAATTTTTCAAATGCCCCAATAGCCCCAGAGCTTAACCCTTACTGTGGTTCAAGTCTAAGACAGCAATGTATACAAGTTCTCTGAGGAATGAAGGAGCAGCATCCGGTTCAATGGGACTGTCGGCCATTTCTCCCACTTGTTAGCACATCTTTGTTAAATTTCACCAGTGGCATTGCATTAGGATGTCTAAAGCAATCACTAACAAATAAAGGTGAACTACATCTTCCAAAAATTGCTAACAGAAAACAGTCCTCTAATCGTCAGCATTGAAATTTAAGGATTTAAATCTTGTCTTAATGAAGACACTAGGGCTAAAATTCATGGTCAGCTTTGTAAAGCGCATCTCACTTTATTTCTGAATTGTTCATGCCCCTCTCTTTTCTTACACTAAAGAACATCTGGACAAGTTAGTGCCAACTTGTTTGATTTGTTAATTGACGTTCTTGTTAATAAGAAATAAGAAACAAGGGCTTTCTGTGCCTCTTGATGCACAGGAAAACTGAAAACTGCCAAGGAAAGGAACATCATGATATTTGAGATAAATTGAACACATTAGAGAAAATGATTTCTTGAAATTTGCTATAAACGATCTTTATGTTTGTATCTTCTTTGTTATTCACGTATGAATCAGATCCATGTGGCATTGAAAACAAATTTCTTTTGATTACTTTATAGGTCACTTTTTTTTTTTACTTAAAATTATGGGATATGCATGTGAATCACACATGTGTAATATATAAATTCAGCTATTGAATTTTTTTTTCATTTCATTTCTATGTGACGGAACTGATGGTGAACTGAAATTTTAAAGAAGTCAGCTACCATACTGAAAATAAGGATATTAGAACTGATTTCATACGGTAGAAGGTGATCCGTGCATTCTCCATAATGACATTTTCTTTCACAATAGGACCACAAATATTTATGTAAATAGATATTTTTGTGTGATATTTTGTGGTACATATAACTTTTTTTAGTGTTTCACAGCATTATTATTTCATTTTCTTTGTACCGAATGATGTTTTTAGGTCCAAGTAGACTTGAATTAATGTCATAATTGTCAGTATTATTGAAAATTACGTCAACTGTACGGTTTCATCTGTTCCATAGTTTAGAACATGACCTGGCTATCTGGCATTGTTGCAAGTGCCTTAAATTCATGGCATCCTATTAAAAAACAAATTTGGTGTTATGCTGCATGACAAAGACAAATACACCTCAAAATGTTGTCCTTTCTTAGCTTGCTGCGTTTTACAGTTCTTTCTGCTAACAATTTATAAGCCTTTATTATATAATATTGATGAATTACAGAAATGATAAAGTTGTTCTCTTATTTCTGTTACACGTACCAGAGCTGTGTATCTGTTACTGAGATACAGCGTCATTTCTGTGAAATGTATAAATGTATGTGCGGGTCAAATTAATATATGACATACTATCAGTCTGTATACAGGTATTCCTGTTTTGCTAAGCTGTGCAGATTCAGTTTAAAAAAAAAAAACACTTAGTGCAGTCAAGTTCTAACATCTCATTTTATAGACTCCATTACCAACGATCCAACTCAAAAGAAAAATTGGAAAGTGACTGCTAACCACACCTCGTTATGAAACCAATGATGAACATGTACCTTGGTGCACTCCTCAACAAAACAGGATGCTTTCTGAGTTCTTGTATATGCAAATCATTTATGAAGCAAGTTTTCAACAGACCTGGCAAGATAAACATTGGAAGTGTGTTGTTAGCCCTCCTCTTTATCTGCCCCTGAATTAATAGAGCTCTGGGACCTTGACCATGACTCAGAGGTTTGGGCTTTCCGAGGAAAGGGACATTTCTTCAAGCATCATCTATCCAATTTATTTCATTGTATGATGTTTTTACAACTGGTCAGTTCTTTTGTATTCTTACAGCTATGGTTGATTGTCCTCTTACAATTTGTTCTACATGAAAGAGTCCTTTGTTAGTCAGAATGCAACAACTGTCATCAAATGGTCATTGACCACTTGCACTCTTTTGATGTAGATTAAAAACTTTTTTCATAAAATTAACCTGCTTTGATTTGCTCTGTATTTTTCCTGCAGCTGTAATTGCCGAGTGCCTGTTGTATACTTTATAGAGTTGAAATAAAAAAAAAATAATTACTTTTGAACTTAGTGGATGTTTAATTCCAGACAAGACTCCAAGAATATAGTTGATGTATCATACTGGAATGGAAATACCCTGGGGTACTATGGGAGAACATCACTAAAACAATGTAAAACTTACTCATAACCCAAGTGTCCTTCACAACATCATGGTATTATGATCTGATGTAAAACTAATCTAGCAAATCGGTTTAAAGATTTCAGGAGGGATAATGTTGGACCATCCACTGTGAACAGAAAAGCCAACATAGATACCCACACAAACCCCAACCTCAGCAGGGCTCTGTGCCTCACAATCGCCACCCACCACCACACACTCCTTGTTTGGGCCACCCCTAGTCAAACTCTGAGCCAGGCAAACAATCAAAAAGACAATTCTTGTATAAGGCTGTGTGCTGCGAGGGAATTATTTTGTATGGAAAGCAACATTATGAATCGTTGTCTAAGGTTTATTTATCTGATTCCTCTGTTATGTTTTATATTCTTAAGGAAGATAAATTTAGAAAACAATACAATTGCAACAAGTTCAATTCTCCAAAACCCTGGTGAACATACTCCTCTACCCCTCCGTTCCTCACTGCCATGAATGGAACACAAATTAAAATTGGCTGCAACATAAAGATTTCCTTAATCCGACTGTCCTTGTCTTGTTGACATCCCATCACCAGGGATGGTGAGTTGAAAACCCCTTTTGAATAAAAACTAGAAATAATCCAGTTAACTTTACCAGGCAGAACTGATAAAACGACTTTAAAAAAATATTATGTGACTAGAACACATCCAATAA